TTTATTATACTTTAAAGCTTTACTCCTTTTTATTAGCAGTTCCATATACAAACTAGTTGCAATATAACTTATTTATTTATATATCTGTGTGATAAAATCAGATTACTTCCAGATACAATAGTGTTTTACAATCATCAGGAGAACTGCATCTTTTATCCGTATTCCTTTAAAATACATCATGCATATGATTACTCATAAGAAATAAACTGATGCAAAGACATTTTCGCAAAGAGCCTACAGCAGTGTAAAACCTTGCCTTTCCTTGGCCTCACCAACTTTTCTTCTACCAAAGATCTGAGGAAGTTTATTTTACCCTGGGGACCAAGACCCATAGTGCTGTAATGCTATTTTAAAAATGAAACAGTGTTCATAGGAACAATATGTGTTTAAATGGGGTAATATATTGTATATTTGTATACAATTCCTGCTTTGAGGTAATGCTATGAGATTCTTTCCCCTGCATAGTAACTAAATAACCATAAATGATATTTCATGCATATGCAAATCTGTCCCTCTAAGCACCTTATTAATTATTTCAAAGATACTTGGAGGTCACCATTCATGGAAATTTCTATGCATGAAGCCTCATTAATACAAGACACCATACAGAGAGATGGGATAGATTTTTGTTGCCATTTAACAAGGGCAGAGAGAGTATAATCTGTAATGTTTACTTTTTTATTTTAATGACCAATGAAATCCAGCCAGCTCCTATCTGTAAGTCCTTGCTCTGAGCTAATACAGTGGGTTTGAATCACGGGTCTGCTGCCACACTGCTCTGAACAGCTAATCCTATCAATGCACCAGTTACTGTGCGCAGAGCTCTGGTCCTCAACGCTGGCTCTTCTCAGCTGGAGGAGCGCTGCCTGGCACTAGATTAGCGGCTAAGCACTAAGGAATTAATGTTGTTCTTCCAAAAATCACAGCAATGACACATTTGGTGTTGGAACAAAATGAAGCTATGGCATTATCAAGGTGATATATCATAGCTCATCAGCTGAGATGATAGCCTTCTTCCGAACACATATTATCTCCTGCTAATTAGGCCACATAACAGAAATCAGAGACGAGCAAGGATATAACCGCACAAAATACCCGAACGCAATGACAAAATGCATCTTCTGGTATATCTGTGCCAGGAAGCAAGAAATTAAACCTACTTGAGAAGCATTATTTATGTGAAATCCCTAGATCCTTTCCAGCTCAAGTTATCATACATATGTGATAACACTGATCTTGTCTGTCACAGTGACCCTTTGCTGTAGCAGCTGCTGTTTATTTTTATTCTGTTGCGTGTCAGGTGCTTTCACCTCTAGATTGATCCAATAAAAGATATAAAAAACTTGCTATGGTGGTACATTCCCTTAATAAATATTTGGAACAGTGAGTCAAATGTTAATGGAAACTGCAGGCTATGTTCATTATGTTATCTCTATTTTTGAAAAACACTAGAATGAACAGAACTAATTGGAAGTGCAAACAATTTAAACAGGCTTAATTACAAACCCAAACCCTCCTGTACAGTTCTAGAGCAACATGTGCACATATGCCTTGGAGAAATGGGCTAGTTTTTAAGGAATTCCATTCTTACATGAAAAAGGAAAAGTAAGACAATTTTTATAAAGTCTGAACTCAGAACATTTGTATTTTCTGTTCAAGACACCATAAATACTATTTCAGCATTAGTCTGTGATCTTTAAAAGTACATGTACTAATACAGACTGTTTTGATCTGTCTGCACAACCTGGTCACCTACCATAACATAAATCTCAGTACAGTAAATAAGACTTTGGTTTGTATTCCTTTTAGAAGCAGGTTCAAATCAACATCTAACCTTTCAATAAAGCTCAGATCTAGTATTTTTTGCTTTGAGTCATGCTCTGTTAGAGATAACACATATTAAACAAACTTTGCCACAGAAAAGTCTTTTCTTGGCATGTCCCATGACATCCGTTCCTGTCAAGGGGAAATAATTTTAGGCTCCCCTGAGGTAATTAGAGAAAGCTGTGTCAAACAGTGCTTTATCGTCTTCACATATAAATACAAACTGCAAATTGCAGTTGCAAAAATGAAAATTGTGAACTGTAGGTTGCAAAAATGTAATCTTATACTATTCAGCAGG